AATTTATTTTGAGTTAAAGTCAAAATAAACAAACAAAATGCGCATTTATTAAGTTTGATTTATGTAAACAAACTCTGAAATGTCATGTGACCATAATATTATTAAGTTACGTGACGTTACTAGCATATAATCATGCTTAAAAAGTGATGTTCAGAGACTTTTGGTGACCCTCTGTAGTATACTGTGTTGAACTAAAATTGTAGAAAGACGTCTGTTGAGTAGTTTGATTAGAGCTTTTCTTGGGCATTCCAGGAGCGTAATAGGCTGAGTATTGTTTAGGTCATATTCTCATGATTTGGGTTTAGGGATCGGATAGATATATACCAAGTTCCACCTATTCGGTATCGATGAGATCTTTAAGCAATTACAAATAATATGCCAAAAAAGTTTTTTGGCGAGCGGACCAAGGTGTTTTAACATTTTATTGTGAATCTTTGAGGGGCCTGATGCTTTCTGGTCAGCTAATAATTGTATAATGTTGTACCATTCCTCTGCCGTAGGAGGTGACATCAAGGACCTATATATAGTAGGATCGATATTAGAGATCGGGTTATAGATAGAGCTCCATTTCTCTGAAATTATTTTTTCTTTATGGGTGATGCCAGCCACCTTCTGGAAATGTGCGTTTACGTTAAGTTTGACAGCACTTTCGTCTATAATCAAATCCTTGGAGTCTCTTGATAGGCAGCAGTCGAGTACTATAGTTCTTTTCGTACGATTTAAGGTGGAGTCTAACATTTTACCAGGTTGTTTAGCATAGTTTTTGAGGCATTGATTGAGTGCTTGTTGAATGGATTGAAGTTTGTATTCCTTCTCGTGAAGTTTGGCTTTACAATGAACTATATTAATTAATAAATTAGTATCTGAGAGCAGAAGGTCAATGAAATTAAATGGATAATTTGGAATAAAGTGAGTGGTGACTAAATTCAGTGAGTGCGTAATATTGATGTAGTTATCGTAAGAATGAGACCAGGAAATCAGAAAAGGTGTCCCGTTTTTGATTGATCGTAACAACTTGTTGAATTTGTGAAGGTCTTTTTGTTGTACATAAAGTTTGGACAATCTAGGGGGTCTTGGATATTTAAATTGTTCTGTTGATTTTCGAATGGCAATCGTCAATTCAGCAGCCTTAATCAGTAGGTCCTGGAATTGATCCTACTGTTTGTTAAGCAATGTTTGTATCCAAAATGTGTTGACGTTCACGGTTTTCAGTGAGCATCTGTTTAAGAGTGCATCAAATTTAGCTCCAAATTTGTTCCATTTATGGTCATCTATTTTGTTGAAGTCAAAACTTATTTTCGCCTGTATTTTTCTTTTGTTGAATCTGACATCTAAAAAATTAGCACACTTTGTTATGACTAGCAGGTGGTCAGATATGTCTGAAGCTATTGGAATGGTATAGCAATTCAGTATATTGACAGAAATTTCAGTTGATGTTTATATGTAGTCAATTCTCGAAGTGCTTTGACTGTTAGTATATGACGGAAAGCTGGTTCTTGCACAGTCATGTTTGAGGGTGAAGGCATCAAACATAAACATTCTGAATAACGTATCAAAATACTTGAGTGCATTTGCCGGGTTGTGTTGACAGTCCATGTCAGCATTGAAGTCTCTTAGCACAGCCACATGATAGTCTAGGGATGAAGCTTCTTTAATCCATTTTGTAAGTATAAGTTATACTTCTTGTCTGGTTTTCAAGTCTGCAGGTGGTAAATAACAGTTAATGACACGTAGTTTTTGTTTATTGGCGAATTGTAAATCCACGTAAATTAATTGATCTAGTTTTGTATCGTGCTTAAACACATGATGAGTGATGTCTTTTTTAATATAAGTCCAACTCCGAAGGCTGTTCTTTATTTCAGTATTGAACTGAAAAATGATATATGGGAGGAATGAGTTGGATTGAAATTCTTTACTTGTGTTTGTTTAAAGTTGGTTTCTTGGAGGCTGATAATATCTATGTTATATGCGAAATACAAGGAAAGGAGGAAATGTTGTTTTGCAATGTTTGTGAATGATTTAACATTATAGGTAGCGAATGTGAGATTTGGAATATTAAGTGAAAAGGGTATGTTATTAGTATTTGAGGATGTTGGGACATTATTAATATCTGTAGAGACAGTAATCATGATTATTTGTTTTAGAATTGAGAAAGGCTTTTTAGGGCCTTATCTGCAGTTAAGTCGTAGTTAATATTGAGGGTCAATATTTCTGCTGTTTTTTCTGTTGGTAACAGATTGTTTTAGATGAGAATCGTGCAGAAGGCATTGCACAAATTTACCAAGCCATTTACTGTTTCTGTGAAATGCTTTAGCCGTAGATTTTGGGCATCATTAAGCTCTTTGAGGGCATCAATAGTACGTCTTTGCTTATTGATAACCGAATTGGATATATCAATAACCGGGGTGTCATAACCATACACCATATCTGAATTGTCTATGTTTTCATTTGGAGCTATGACTTTAATATTGAGGGTATTTTCTATGGTATCCATTCTTTTCATAACGGAACTCATGGCGATTGTAAAATCTTCAAATTTTTGAGTTAGGTGAATAAAGCTGTTCTTAATAAATGCTTTGAAATCAGCCTCTTCGTTAGATTTCTCATGCATAGAGCCTTCAGCTTTTGTGCCAGCGGCTATATCACATGATTGTTTTGGAGTAAGTGTATTGTTGATAATATCTATGTCAGGTGGGACGTCATTGGCCCAAGAAGTGAGTGGTGTATTATTTGGACCTCTTAACGCAAATGATCCATCTTCGTTGTTAGAAATACCAAATTTTGGCTTCATTGGGAATGAAGATTTTTCTTCTTGTCTTCCTTTGATAATACCAGCAAAATTTACGTTCAGATTGACTGCTCCTCATCTAAGGCGGGACAGAGCCTTATAGTTATTGTATTAAGCGGGCTGGAATCGTTGGTACAGGTTCTGTGTATTTCTGTCGTTAGGTGTTCTTCGTTTTTTTGTACAGTCTTTTATTTTGTGATGGGAAGAAGAACATATGGTACATAATTTCATTTTGTTACTTGTCCATTCTACGTGTTTACCATTAATCGTGAGGTTGTTATCACTGATTGCCGCTTCTTAGTCTTCTGCTGATGCAAAGTAGAAGAGGGTATGTTGTAGATTGTTGTAGTTAGATCGAGCCTTAGAGATGATCCAGGTTGTCGCGTTAATCATCAATTTAAGGTTAGATAAATCTTTACCCGTAGTGTAATGTGGAAGGCATGTGAGCTTAGCTGAAACTTTAATCATTCTAGTATTTGGTCTCTTGATAAGTCGCACATATGGAATTGCACCATATCATTGAGGATGAAGACACCATGACCTTTTTGAAGTTCTGTAAAGTTGGCATCGTTATTGTATATAATTGTGGCTTATTGTCATAAGTTCTTTGTTTCCATTATGAACCTGACGATCTTTCTAAATCAGGAAAAGATTTTCTTAATTCTAACTTCCGTTGCGTCCAATGGAATCTCTGTAACTTTGATTAATTGTTGTGACATGAACAGATGTTTTGATGTAATGTTAAGAAGTAAAAACATGCGTTTTTCTAAATTAGGTAAGATGATCTTACAGAACGCATCCCTATCTTCTTTATCAGAAAATGTCGCTTTAAATATACTTTGTGATTAGTCTTCTGGGTGTTTGGCTAGGGCGACACCCGAAAATGAATCAAATCTGTCAAATATGAGATCCGTAATGTCAAATACTTTTGTTTGAGGGGATTTTTCAGGGTAGTCGTCTGTTGGGAAGAAAGCGAAAAATTTTGTCTTTTTTGTAGAGATATCTTGAAGGCTCTTCTTTTTGTTCAAAAGTTTTCGGAGGCGTCGTTGGCGTTGTCGACGTTCATTTCACTTTGTTCTGCAGTGACAACTAAGGTTGTTTCACTTTGTAAAACTTCTTTGTCCTTTTCTTTGTCGAGCGGAAGAGGGTTGACCTTCATAAGTAGAGTTTTGTTGTTGTTGTTGTTGTTGGACATACTGCTTTCAGGTTCAACAGTTTGTAAGATGTTTTGTTTTTTCTTTGGTTGTTGCTCTGGAGTACCAGGGCGAGAACGAGTTGGTTGTTTTTATTAGTTTTTTTTGTTCTCTTTCTTTGGTCATAGCATGGTAGTGGAAAGAGTTTTTGTTTTTTTTTTATTGTTTAAAAAAAAATAAAAAAAAATAAAAAATAAGTTATTTTTAGATGATCAGGTATAATGTAAACAGATCACATAATTGGATAATTTACAAGAATGCGTAAACAATCAAAAGTATAAAGTAAAAATTTGCAATAAGCGAGTGGGAGTAAAGGAGAATAGTGATTTTTTTACATACATTTTATGAAATTCAAAGTGAACTTTACTTTTAATAAAAATTTTTAAATTTATTATTAATTATTATAATTAAAAAGCATATTTTGAAAAAGAATAAAATTTTACATAAAAACTGTAATTATAATATTTAATTATTATATAAATTACTGTTTTATGTAATCTTAAAAATACAATAAAAATTAATAAAAAAAATTTTTTTTAAATTTATTTAAAGAAAATTAATTATATTAAAACAAAATAATAACTTTTAAATACTTTTATTTGATACTTTTTTTTTTATAAAGTGTGGTAATTTTGTGATATACATTATATTGATACAATATTTAATAAATTACACAAATATAATCAAAAAAAACAAAAAAAATTGAGAATTAATACAGTTACAAAAAGCTATTACTTAACAAATATTAAATTATATCAGATGAAAATTTATATGTATATAAATTTAGATATATAGTTAACCCTCTCTAAATGCATCCTCTCTAAATACATACTATATATTTTCTTTCTAAATGCATGTTCTCATTCAGTCCCAAACATATAGAATTCATATAAAAATCTTCTCTTTAAATGCACATCCTCTTTAAATGCATATTTTTTAAAATTTTCACTATAGTCCTAAGGGGATGCATTTAAAGAGAATTGACTATATAGAACATTTTTACTTAATATGCAGTAAGCAATTCACTTTAATTAAAGTGCTCAAATTATCCTATGAAGTTAAAAAAAAAGGTCTATAATATTATAAAGTTACAAAAACACATATTACAATATGAATATTAATTTAATCGAGATTAAATTTTATAAATAAATAGTATAAAACCTGTTGAGTAACTTTTACTTAAAAATGAAAAGCAATTGATTTTGACTAAAGTGCTCAAATTTCCTTGTGAAATCAAAAAAGTGTAACTTATTTAGTAAAGTTATAAAAAAAATTATTTCTATATGAAAATTAATTCTATCAAGATAAAACATTAAATATAAATAGTAACAAATCTGCTGAATAATTTTCACTTAGAAATGAAAGATAATTGACTTTAACCAAAGTGCTTAAAATTTGTCATGAAATCTCTATATTAATATTTATAAAAATAATTACATTTAGTAAGAGTTCTTATAAGTTTAAATATTTAAAAAATAAGGTTGTTTTTTTTAAATATTATGTTAAATAAAATAAAAGTGTTTTTTTTGAAAAAAAAGAAATTGAAAAATTGATTTTCATTATAATTATAATTAATTGTGTAACTATAATTAATTGTGCAACTGTAATTAATCATCAAATTAAAAATTTCCATATCATTTCACATACAATTTTTTTTACAGAAAAAGCAAAAGAAAAATAACAAAATAAATTAGAGTTTTAAATTAAATCAAATATAATGTATTGTTTATTAAATAATTTAAATAATTTAATTAAATTAGGTTAGATTAGATCAGGTTAGGTTAGATTAAATGAAAATTTAAATCAGATTAGATTTTTGTTTGACCTAACCTGATCCTCTCAGTTCAGGTAACTTGATTGACCTGACCTGAACTAACCTGTTCAGAGCTCTAGATAAGTTGAATTAACTTATAAATCAGAAAAGCTGAGTTAAGTATAAATCAAATCAAGTTTATATTTTTTTGATTCAATAATTTACGAATCATATTATATTTAAGTCAAAATAAATATTTAACTTGATTTGATTTAAATTCAAGTTGACTTAAGTTAACTTAAAATAATATTATTTTTTAATTTTTTTCTTTAATTTTTATTTATTTAATTTTTTTTTTGATTTTTTTCGTTTTTTAATTTATCTTTTCATTTTTAATTTAATTTTTTTTATTTTTTTTTCTTTTTACTTTTTTTTTTTTCTTGATCTTTTTGTTTTTAATTTTTTTTACTTTTTTATCATTTGGGCTCTTTGCAATAGAAAGGGAGGAAACTATTAAAAAAATTTTTTTTTACTTTATAAGCTAAATATTATTTTTTTTAACAAAATAAGTTCAGATTTAATGTTAACTCAAAAAAAATTTTTTTGGTAGTTTATTCCCTTTCTATTGCAAAGAGCCTATTTTTTATCAATTTTCAATTTTTATTTATTTTTTCCCTTTTCTTCACTTTTATTCTTTTCGTTTTTTATTTTTTTTTATTATTTTATTATTTAATTACTTTTTAATTATTAATTTTTTTTCTTTTTATTTTTCACTTTATCCTAATCTTTTTTATTTTATTATTTTATTTTTTTTACTTCTTTCTTTATTATTTTTTATTATTTATTTTTTTATTAATTTAAAAGTAGCCTTTTATAGTAAATATATTTTAAAAATATTTTTTGAGGATTTTTAAAGGTTTATTTAATTTACTTTCTTTTTTTAGAAGCAGATCTTTTATTTTTATGAATAAGAATAAGTATAAATTTAAATATTTATAAATTATTTTAAAATTGACTCAAAACTTGATTTGATTTAACTTAAAAAAATGAGTTGAATAGAGTTATCTTTAAATTCAACTCAACTTAACTTATTCAAAACTCTAGATATAAATATATTAAATTCTCAAACAAATAATCCCACTTTTTATAATTATAAAAATATTTATAAAAAATAAATTTTGATATACTTTTACGTCATGAACTGATTCTGGCTATTCTTTTTTATAATCAATAAAATACTATAATAATTAATAATACTTTAATATTAAATTAAATATTTTTTTTTTATGATTTCAATATATTTCAGATTATTTTAATGATGCAATTTCTAATATTATATAAGTATAATCAATAGTATCAATAATCCTTCACTATTTTTCTTAATTGTTTTATTAATCATATAACTAATATAATTAATGAATTTTTTAATAAAAGAATATTTAACATAACTCTTTTACAATAAAGATAAACAGTACACTTTGAAATATCATATTGTAAACATATATTAATTATTTTTTTTAAACCCATTTTTTACATAAAAATAGCTAGTTGTAATTTAATTAAATTTGCTGTTTATTACTAATTAACTGAAAAATTGAAAGTATTTCAATATTAATTATAAACTTTTAAAAGCTTTGAGAATTCATTTTCATAATTTTTTAAATCTAACGTCATCATATCTAAGAATAACTAAATGCCACTACTTTTAAGATTTAGCAATATTACTTTGATTATATATTTCTAACTAATAAAAATCTAATAAAGAATATAAACTAAGAAGAACCATTTCATTTTCTTTAATATTAAATAATTCTTTTTCAAAATTAGAATTATTTGATTCATTATCTGAGTTCTCAATAACTTAACTTGATTTAATAAAAAAGGTTATTAATAAATTTTCAATATTTTGTCAATAAGCCATTTTTTAAAAAATATATATTAATATATAATTTTTTTATGATTAATCAATTATACTGATCAAAATTTATACAATTTTAATTTTAATTATATATTTAGATTAGTTAATAGATTTTGTGATCAAAATCTAAACGATCAGAAATAAATAGATCTATTGCTTTAATCACCTTTCTAATTCGATTAAAGAGCTATTAAAATTTTATAATTAAAGATTACAAATGGATGAGAATATTAACAATTGGATGATTTTGAATTGCAAACTGATGATGATAAAGAATTAGATAATTCTAAAACTATATTAAAACAAATAGAAATTGATGTAGAATTAAAGAAAATAATATCTGATAAGTTATACTTGATAAGTTAATCCAGTTCTTTTTTTTATTTCAATTTAATTTTATGATTATTTATAAAATTTTTAACAAAATTTGCTAAAAATTGTGTACTGGTTAAAAACATTGAAAAGCTATCAATTTTTAATTCAATATTGAAAAATATTACAAATATAACTAGTTTTAAATAGTTCTAAATGATTAGATACTATTTATATAGTTTTGTTATTCTAGCATTAACTTTATAATTTATTATTTATAAAAAATTTCAGATAATTTTTAATTTTTTTCGATAAATTTTATTCAATAATTATCATGTATTTTAATAATCAAATGAAATGAAAGTCCTATTCAGAATCGCTCAGATTGGTAAAATCAATAACTAATAAAATTGTAGCTATAATTGAGCACAATTTTTTTGATTAAATCGATAGTATTTTTGTTTTATTAGTTTTTAACAAGAAAATTTGTCAATAATTTTGTATTTTCATCATTCTAGCCTTTTTCTTTAAATTGAAAAGTATTATTAGAAGTGTCTTTTTTCACACTTTTTTTAAAAATTTTTAGTTTAGTGAGTATTAGAGTAATATTAGTAGTAGGTTTGATCAGTAGTAATAAATTAAAAGTATATAAAACTGAGTTGGAAGTAGTTACAGCTATAATGTCTAGATTTTGTATAAAAAATTCTTGTAATTTTGAAGCAATTGAATGAAAGATAAAATTTTAGTTAAATATTTTAAATTAAACGTGACAAATTTTTAAAAATAATTGTGTTTATTTCATAAAATCAGCTAATCTGAATTAATTTATTAAAAATTGATTAAAGTGAATAACAAAAATGATTGCTTATCTGATTATTTCAGTAGCTAATAATTTTTGATTTCAATTCCGGTCAATCAGTATTAAAATTTTAATTTTTTTTTAATTTTTATTAGCTGATCAATGTTGATCAGCATGTAAAATTAAGCTAATAAATGGAATTTTTACTATGCTACAAAATGGTGAATAGATTGTAATACATTAATAATAGGTAATACTAAATATTATTATTATTTTCTGCATGATCTCCAAAAAGAATAAGGTTCCATTAAGCAAAGCCTAAAGAAAAATTCCAAAGCCTCATTTTCATCTTGATTCATTACAACTTCACAACTTTAACACTTGTACATTTCAGATCTTCCTATTTTTTGAATACTACCACACTAGCTGCAAGTTTTTGAAGTATAAGCCTCATTTTAGATAATAACATAGATTCCTAATTCTTCAGCTTTAGCTACCAGATATTGTTGAAATTAATAGTGAGTCCAAAAGAGTATTCTATGAACAGATTTTGCATTATATTTTTTGTTTTTTGATTTATCATATTTGATATTTCAAGAGGAGGAATGATAATAGCATCAAATTCACAAGTAAAAAATTTAACACTCTTTTTATGGATTTTACTTTGCAGATGTTTGATTTTTCGTATTTCTGAGAAATTGCATTATTAAGTTACAAGGCCTTTTTAATTTTACGTTTTGAATTAAAAGAAGCCAGCTTATTCCTTATAGAATAAAGATTATCCATATATTTGCATAAATGAATAATTCGTTTAATGTCATATTGGCTAATTTTGCCTATACCTTTAGTAGGAAAATATTATGTGAAGGGTATACAAACACCAGGATCAATAGAGATTGCATGAACAGAACTATCTGCTTAGATTTTGCAGAGCTGTTTTTATATCTCATAAATTCATGAAAATTTCTATTCATTAGTTTTACGAATATATGTGATTTTACAATCAGATATTATTTTGTGAGGAACAGATCACTTATTATTATATCTTATTTTTTCAAAATGAAGAGACTATAAATCATGTTTATTATGATCCAGAGTAACAACAGACTTATGATGATATATGAAAAGCATTGATGGATTGTGAAAATAAGTAACATAAAAACAGTTCCACATGGATTTTAAAAAATTTTATGAACAAATTATTATTGTTTATTGTAAATCTTTTTGAGATTGAAATGATAAAAATAAATCTTATTAATTTGTATTTAATCCTATATTATGGTTAATTATCTTATCCCTAAATTAATTAAAAAATCAAAAAAAAAATCAAAAATTTTAATTAAAAAAAAATCAAAAAATAATAATTATACCTAACAGTCAATACTTCATCAATTGCTTCATTAATAATATTTGCAAATGCTTTTTATGTATATCTTAAAGTAGCATTCCAATATGCATAATAGTTCATATAAATTTGCATTCATCTATACACATAATTTTTAAAATTTCTTGTCCTTATATTCATTAACGTCTTTTCCTACACAAACATCTGCATAAAGTTTAAGTTTATCTTTAATAGGTTAAAGTTTACCCAAACTCATTGTGATGGACTAATATATAAATTCTTAATATATAAATAGCAGTATTGATTCTAGTGAACAACTGCATTATAAACATATCTCATCAAGCCTATTTAAACGTTTCAGTAGTTATTTTTGAGGGTGATTTGTATATACTTTGATTAGCAGTGTATAATTAAGAGTGATTTTCAAGTGTTATTGTTTATTGTATACTGATATTATCCTGATCTTTATCTTACACTTTTTTCCTAACCTGACATTCTTATCAGTGAATAGTGACTCTTCTTTCTTGCATTTGACAAATAAAGATTGTATTAATTATAAGGATATCTTGGGAAAGTTCATATTCATAAAGGTCACATTGTAGAAGAGAATCACGAGTTTTGTAGTATATAGGAAGAGTATACACTAGATGAAATCAAAGGTGAAATGACAGAGTCAGTTATAATGGGTAATCACAATTTCTGAAACCATTCTGTAACTTGTTCATTCCAATAAGGTCTTAAGTCCCAATCATTTGAAGTTGACACCTGAGCTAAGTTTATTAGTTGAGAACTATGAGCTGAGGAATTATTTCTGTCACTCAAGATTCTCTTTTTGCTTAATACTAGAGATTCAAATATAGAGAAATCCTTTTTTGGTGATGGTGATAGTGGCGACGGTGGTAAAATTTAAGATATTATAAAGTTGCATATCACCTGGTGAACAAAATGCTGTTATTTTACTGTTATAGTATCAATAACAAAATGTATACAAAGAAACATCAAGGATAGAAGCCTGAGTAGTAATAATGAATATTAAATGGAAATAAAAACTTAAATATTTTGTGAAAGGTTAAGCTTTTTGAAAGTTTAAGCATTTTGAAAGTTTATTTGCGAATGGAATGCAATAATATTAATAATCTTACTAAAAATGCAGCATATAATGAATGACATGATAATTCTCCCAAATACCCTCTATGATAGGGTCAAATGTGTTTCCCATATTTAAATCAACTCTTACAATATATTCTGCTGCAAATTCTTCCTATTAAAAAAATCTCATTAATCAAATATTCATTTACATAATAGTATAATACAATAATATATTTTAGTCATTTTGCATGCACAAAATTCTAAATTAAAATGTTCTTTGAATAATGATGATTAAACTTACCTATAAAGCAACAATAGTATCTTTAGTATTTTGAGCATCAATCCTCCATTTTGTGATAAAACTTTAGAAATTATCAACATTACGTCTGCAAATACTTAAACTCCCATCTTAGCCCTCTCTTGACTAAACTTTTAAATTTATTTAAGTGAGCTGAAAGCCTAACTTGAAATACTCCTGCTCCTAATACTATACATTTCATCATTAATTTACACAATTGTATGAGAATTAGGTTCTTTAACTAATATTGTAACAGATTTTGGATTTTTAATCTCTTCAACAAAAGTATATTTTTCTTTTCCAAGAGTGTACTTATAAATAAATCTATGTATCTGAGAACTTTTGAAGACAAATCATCACAGAATTTTGTGTAATCCCTTTATAAATTAGTTGTAATCTAAAAAAAAAATTTTACGTCAAAAAAAAATAAAATAAATAAAGGAAATACATAATACAATAAATCACCTTTTCATATTTCTTCTCTTGGTATATCTCAATGCAAGAATTCTATTTTTACAGAGAAGATCCAATGATAAGGAATCAATTCCCTTTTGATTAATAACAACAAATCCTTTATTGTATCCTTACATACTTGTTTTTTAAATTCAATAATTTTTTCACTTTTCATCTGTAAATTTGTGCTCTAATTCTATAAGTTTTTCTCGTTGCTTAGCAGATGAATAAAAAAATTCTGAATTTATTTCACTATAAAAACAAAAAGATATATATATATTACTCAAGAATATTTTTAATCTCATTCATAACCAGTAACACATAAGGGAATTAAAAAAAATTTTTTTTTATTACCAGATACTTTATAATAATATTTTTTTTAGGTCCTTGCATGATTAAATGAAATATTATGACTGATTATTATTTTATCTTTTTCTATTAGTATTAAACTAACAATTTCGTGATCTTTAATAAGGTTTAAGTTATTGTTACAATCAGTTCTTTAAGATGCTTATGAGTGGTAAGCGAAGTAATATTTATAGGTGGTAAGCAGAAGGTTTAATTCGATATTTAGATTTAGAAGAGTGTCAGTAAATTAACAGTTTATTTAATAATTATAACAATGGAGTATTGCCTCAGTTGGCACTCTGTATTATACAATTATGTTAAAGGGATTAAACTAAACTATTATATTAACTTATATGTCAGACACACTGCTAAGCTAAAGGAAATTGTTCTCTATTTATATAAAATAAAAGATATAAAGTTATCGAAGATATAAAAGAAATAAATATAATAAATAAAATATATAAAATAAATAAAATATAATAAATATATGAGATAAATAAGATAAAATAAATAGAAAAAATATATTGTATAAAAGAAATATATGCTATAGACGACATAGATAACATAGAAGACATATATGATTTCTTGGAGATCAACGTCATCCTTTAGATCATCATCATCCATGTCTTCTTTTGTGTAACATTATCTACTTCATTCTCATTTTCTATATTCTCAAGACCCTTATTTTCTTTCTTTTTCCTAGCAGTAGGTTTTTTTTTATTTTTTTCAATAATACTTTCATCATTTGCCTAATTTTGATTATTTTGATCTGAAATGTAATTTATTTCAAAATTTCTTAGTAGCTTTGTCTTTTTCGATCTTGTCTCATCATTCCATAAAATTCACTTTAAGGTTTCTTCTTATTTTTTATTACACTCACTATTTTCTTGAAAAGTTCTTCTAATCTCTTTTCTTTAAATTCAATTAAATGTGGCAATATCCAGGTATACCAAGTACTAAAGATGCAGTACATGCAATAAGACTATAATTGCTATTACTTAATAATGTTTTGACATTAAAACACAACACATTTTCACGTGAAAATTTTATTAATTCAGGCTCTTTATTACTTTCTAAATAAGTCTACCCAGGTTTAATTAACAAATCTTTTCTGATGGCATATTTAAGAGATTTGATTCAACAAATTCTATTATTAATCCTCTATATTTTTTATTTTGCATTCTCTAATATTTCAAAAATGTTTAGCTATAGAATTGCCATATAAGTTTGTATATTAAATTCAGGAACATTGGGAAATTTTCTGTTTCCTTTCTTTTTAGACCTTGATGTTTTAAATATTTCAATGCAATTTCAACTATTTCAGCTTTTACTGGAACATTGGATGAATTATCTGGAAAAATCTTTTCATGAAGCCATCTTAGTAACATTTCTACTCCAGCTTCATTAAATCTTTCTGTTAATAGTTAAAAAATTTTATTTTGATTAAACACATAATACGTAAGCAGTGCTTGAAAACAATATTCATACTTGATATATCCTTTATTATAGCATTTAAACTTAACTCTTTTTTGAAAGTTTATATTAAAAATGAGTTTCTTATACTAAATCTTATTGCATATTGACGCGTAGTTACTAAATTAGAAAAGGCTTTCATAATTTAGAATTGAAACAAAAAATTAGTAATAAATTGAAATTTTTGTAAGAAATTTTGCATGATTTTTTACTAAAAGAAGGTATTATGTGTTTTATAATAACACATCACATGATTTCTATTTTTCTAAAATGAATAGATAATATTTTCACGTTTCAATTTAAATTTCCTCTCCATAATAAATATTAAATTCAATAAATGTTCATCATTCACCCAATCTACTCCACTTTTAAGGATTAATCCTTGTAAAATATTTTGTATAATTTTTATTTTGCTCTTGCATTTACCAAATCATTTAACAAAATTTTTAACTGTAACATTACAGCTTAATTATTTCTTGAATTTTCGTAATATTTTTCAATTGGATTGAAAATAAATTCGTTAATTTGCATCATCAATATTCTATTTTCTATGTTAAGCTAAATAAAATGATTTTTTTTTATTATTAAGTGTGGCGGTTTTGCATGATCTTTATTAATATTTATAAATTTACAAGAAAAACAAAATAAAACAGAAAATACAAAAATATCTATAAACTAATCTAATACACTAAACTACTTTATCAATACTAAACTTGCACTTTACTGAATTAAACTATATATTAAAAAAGAAAAGAAAACTAATCTAAACTTAAATATAGATATCAAATATCTAAAAGAGAAGGCGTGGTTACTGCTAGATCAGAATTTGATTAGTGAGTACTATAAGCTATTGCTACTGTAAAGAAGGAAGGATTATTTGAAGGTATTTGTGTAAATCAAGAAATACCAGATGATACCTAAGCTACGGTGAAATCGTCTTTTATGTTATTTGAGATTTTCCATAATTGTAGTGATTTACATCTTTTCAACCATATCTTGTGGACTGATAAGAATATGTTATTAAATAGAAATGATATAAGATCAAAGGTAAGTTGTTTGTTATTTGTGATATTATTAATTGATGAAGTGAGAGATGAAGGAATAATCTCTTTTAATAGGTCTATGAAACAAAGATTATTATTAATTAGGCTGCAGTTATATAGTAGAGATTGATCTATATACGTAATAGATGTGTCGTTGTTGAGTCTATTGAATTCTTTTAGTTGAGATATGAATGATTATTTGTGCTCATGGATGATGTTGGTAAGAGAATTTATATTATTAGAACAAGTTCAAATGTGATTAAGTCTTCAATTGTATTATTATAATAGAAGCAGTTATTGGAAGTATAAGTTTACAGATACTGAGCATTCATGATTGTTAAGGTAAGGAGTAATTATAAGATCAATTTAAGTTTGAATTGTTTTCTTTTGCATGTATCAAATGATGTTACCCTAGCATTTTCTGAGTCATTGAAAACATAAAAAAGAGTTTGCCAATCAATGTAATAGTTGTTATATTTAGCAAATTAAAGGAAAGTTAAAAATGTTCTAGTCCAAGAGGCTTGTTTAATAAATAAATAGGTGATGATTGATATATTATTATAATATATAAAATATTTGGGACCTAGATTATTATTGTTGATAGCAAAGGAGTACTAGAGAGTTACTTTACTAAAGTATTTACTTTGTTATTGAATTGATCTTATCTGTGAGCTTTGACTTTTGTGAGTATTAACGCAATTTTGTGAGTTGTAATAAGCTGCATCAAGATCATCCAAATGTGAAAATATGGAATTTTGAAATCAGGATTTAGAGAAGGAGATTCCTCACATATTGTGATGATCTTGCAATATAATGCAATTGCAGCTTATGAATCAGTACAGATTTCAATATTAGAATTTGGTAATGCAGTATAAGTTGTACCAAGAATAGTAATAGTTTTCGCTAATGTAGAGGAAGGAGAATGTAACATAAGTGTTACATTAAAGGAGATTAAAGGCCAGTTCTAAACTGTTTATAATCACGCTATTCCCATCTGATAATCAGAAGATCCTAAAAATGTGAGAAAACTATCTGTATAAAATTGTAAAAAATTGGCATTAGTAAATTGCGATTTAAGATAATCTAATCTATTAATAGATGTTTGATCAAAAGGAAGAATATCTAAGTTAAGTGTAGGTTTAGTTGGATATTGATAAGGAGAAGTCAAAGTTGATAAAGTGATTTCACAAAGTATTAGGTGAGAAAGGTTACACCATCACCCTTCACGAGGTTTATGAAAAACTTCAAATACTGAACAATATACTTTAAGTAATTTAATAATACAAAAAATATGACGTTGTTGTTGTTTGTAAGGTATAAAAGCTGAATGATCAAAAAGATTACATTTAGTAGAAGGGGCAATAGGTATTTAAATACAACAGATTGATTTGGTAAATAATATTATGCATGTATAATTGTATTGTTGACTTTGACTACTTTGCCTATAATGAATATTATATATTGATTAGACCAAATGACAATAAATGTTAGATTGATAGGTAAGGTATTAAAATTGGTGGGTTGAGCAGATACTTTAATGAGTGATATGTGAGAAGGATACTTATTAGATAGGAGTCTATTTGAGTTATTGATTAAAAGCTGTGATTCTAGTTGTTTGAATCATTTAGCACTATGTAATACTGAGTCGTAAATCATATTTAGATCAAAGGCTGTAAATAGGTTAATATCATCTATAGTGGTAAGTTAATTTATGTATAAAATTAAAAGTGATCGCAGTTTCAGTATATTTTGCCAATATATCTTAGAGGAGAAATTGTAATATTGAAAGTGAGCTTCTATCTAATTGTTTTAAGTTATAATCTTTATCTTAATATTATTAAAATTTAAACCCAATCTGCTTAGCAGCTGATAAGAAACCTGATCACTAATCTTTAAAGGACTTGGTCTCTATATAAGGTCAGTCAGTTAAGAGAGATAATGGTAACCATTCTAAAAGTTGAAGTTGTAAAATACATAACTATAATGTCAAATCAAGAAGTGAAATATCATTGGTCATCTTTAATAGATTAGATGATTTAGCTTACATCTGTTTATCATACAGGTGTGCTAGATTGTAACTAAAGGTTGAATGAATAACTGAAGCGGATATGAATCTTGAAAGATCTAATTTCTTTTTAAAGAAAGTTCTAAAGGAGGTCATGAGAGTATCACAAACTGAATGAAGAACAAACATAAGTTTTGTTTGTATAGTATACGAGGAATAACAATAATATTAAAGATTACAATTATGTATTTAGCAGTAAGCTTTTTTTTGCTAAAAACATTTTTTGTCTTGGTAAACTCATCAAAAATTTGTTTGGTAATAAATTGTCTATTATTAAACAGAGATACTCAAACTTCTAAATATCTAGTAAATTTCTTATAGTAAAGTGGTGAATGCCAGATATCCTTATCATTGAAGTTAAAGTTAATGGAAGAGGAATCTTTATCATTAATCATGAGGACTGACTTGTTTCAATTGACCTGAATGCTGTTAAGCGTATAGAAGGAATCTGCTATACTCATAATATTTAGGATATCAGTCCTAGAATCTACTAGCCAAAGCGTGTTGTTTATATATATAAGAGCTAATACGTAGTTTGAAAACTTTATATACAGTCACACCTCGATATAACAAAGTTGCTGATCTAGCCGATCAGGACTTTATTATAAGAATCTTTGTTAACGCTATAACGAATTATGCAGAATGTATAACGAATTATTTGTTATAGTAGATGATTACTGATTTCATTACACAAATATAATTTTATTATTTTCAGAAATATTTTCACGTTATTAATCATTGAACAACAGTTTTATTAATTTACTTAAATTTTTTTTAAAAAAATTTATTTTTTTAAAATAAATAAAAATAAAATAAAAAATAAAAATGAAACGAAGAGAAAACTAAATGAGATGAAAAAATGAAATTAAGAAATTGAAATAAAACTATAAAATGAAATTAAGTGAATGAGACGAGACGAAAAAATGAAATTAAATAAACGAAAAAAAATTATAAAATGAAATTAGGAAAATGAAATGAAATGAAAAAATGAAATTAAACAAATGAAAAGAAACTATAAAAAGAAATTAGGAAAATAAAATGAAACGAAAAAATGAAATTAGAAAAATGAAACGAAACAGGAAAACGAAATGAAACGAAAAATGAATGATAAGAAAAAAAACTGAAATTTTTATTATCTTGCAGGCCTTTGCCTTGTGTTTTGTATTTGTCTTGTAGTAGGCAAATTACGATTTCTCTTACGAGTGTGCCTCAATTCTAAAAAAGTAAATATATTTAATATAAATTTAAAAAATCATTTAAACATTTTTAATTATTACTTGATTTATCCCAGAATCAAGTCCTAAAGAGATCATATAATCTTTCCAAAGTATAGGTCTACCTCCCACCTCTTCTCGCTCCATTTTGATAATCGCAAAAATTCTAAAAGATATTAATAATACTGTCAAGTTATATTTATCATAATATTGTTATTCATTTATTTACTTACGTTGTAATCCTGTACTAAATTTCTCCATTTCAACTTGTATTAGCGAGTTGAATATACTGTACTAAATCTTTGATTAATTCGTCAAGCTATACTCCTTCAGAATTCTGTTTTATTATCTCTATACCTAATATGGTACTCTACGTTTCTCTTCCTTCTTTCATTGACTAATAAGTCAATTTCATTATCATCTCAAATGATTCTTATAGTCATTATTGTATTTGTAAAAAAATATGATTTAATAGAGTAAATTAAAGTAATTTAAAGGTTGATTTAAATTTTAAAAGGTGAAAAATTATACAATGGTAAAAAATACTTCCCTTTATAAATAAATTTATCTATTGATTTGATATCTTATAAAATTCTTTACTTATGATTGAAATAATACAATTTTGATTGAATTCTGATTTGTATTAAAACAAAAAGTCAAAATAATAATATAAAGCATCATATTATAATTGTGCATCGTATTATTTATAAAAATTAGATCAATCCAAATATAACAAGCAAAACTCATGA